GGTGCTGCTCATTTTCTTATAATTATATTCTGTTGAACCTTCTGGCTCTAGAAGCTAATGCAAAAAGGCCCATTCGAACCAAACTTACTTAGTAATTGTTCGCAAACCACAATTTAAAAAAAATATTTTTTCACCTTTAATGGACAATGCCCATTCATTAAATCCTACATATGATAATTTCGCAGTCTGAGGAGAACGACTTATCGCTGACGACCACAGTTGCGAATTTGAACTCTCTGGCTTCGGGCTGCCTTTCTTCTAAGATTGCTTCCTCATGTGCTACCGTGTTGAGGCAGGATCCTGTTTGTTCGCTTCACTCACTAGATTCTATGCCATATTCCTTGCCAGCTTGTTTGTCCTGTTATTCTTCGACAAGATCGTCTGAGCAAGTCAGACAGCAGCTGACAAACAAAAACTCCACGTTTATCAATCCTTCCGAAGCTTCCTCTAGTGCCTCAACCACAATCCTCCTATCGTCTTCTTCCTGCATGGCCGCATCCGTCTCTACTTCATCTTGGGCACCCATCAATTGTTCCTCGCATGTAACAAAACAGCAGATGCAGATACACTGTGGAGCATCTGTTGAACTACCTTTGCTGGGTGGAAAAGGGATGATTGCATATAGTGGAGACAATTCTTTATTTAAAGGCCGACCTGTTCAAGCCTTAAAGTGAGTTTTTCTCCTTTTTATGAATTTCTCAATGATTATTTTTCTATGCCTTATTTATAACTCTTCGCATGAGCTATGCTATGAAGGCCATGATGGTGTGGCCTTAAATATATTCATGGTCTTCTTAAGTTGTATAGAAATTGTTTGACTTTGTTTTCACAACTTATAATTATGTGCAGGAGGATCTAGAAGAACGCATCTTGTCCGGAGTCAATAGTGAACATGGTACATACCCAGAAATTTCGCCGGCATCGCAGCTCTCATCGTCAGTGAACCTAGCCATTCTTAGCAAGCCTTTAATTCATGGACCATGCCCATGATCAAATTCATCTACTAACAGTCAACTATAAATGATCTCCGCTGCATCTCTAGCTCTTCTTTCCCTATTGCCAAGTCTATTACTTTCTTATGCCCTATCATCTTCTGTGTCGATCCCTAAATTTGATAGTTCTAGTTGGTTTGAATAGGCTTACTGTAAACGTCTCCTCTTGGTTTGAAATTGCTCCTCTTTGGTTTCCTTGTAATTTCTTTCCCTAAAATTATATACATTATATTGATCCAGTCATCTTTTTGCTTATCTTACTTTTCCCTGGTCTCCTTCGAATTTGCTTTGGCAGTATGCAAAAATTTCGCAATTCCTGCCTTATAGCCTCCTGTTCATTAGATTTATTTCAGTCGGGATATCGCTGGTCTCTCGGATCTTGCGCTTTTTCTTATTTTCATCATATGCAGGTTGTCCTTTGTTAATTTCTAATCGATTTCATGTTCCGTCCGTGCAATGTTTTCCCCTATTTCGAATCTTTCAGTATCTATATTTCTGCAGTCTTTGGTGTTCCTTGATTCGTTAGCTGATTTTGCTTCATGTTTTACCAATATACGTCTGCCCACAGTTGCCGCATCTAATGCTATAGACTCCCAACTAATCCAGTTTGTAAACTTTCTAG